CGTTCATTGTCACAATGTTGATTATCCATGAAGCTATCCAAAAATAAAAACAAATTAAATTAAATATTTTGTTAAATAATTTTCTCATTATAAATAAAGACAACAAAATTCCTAATATATATATATATATATATATATAAACTACCAAAAGTCTAAAGAACAGAAGCTTGTTATTTTTAATGTATTTAATCTTGAATGTTCTAATTTTTCTTAATTCATGTAAAAAAAAAATATTTTAAATACAAAAGAATTTGTTTCTGTATTAGTTTCAACAAAGAAGTTTCTGTAATATGGGAGAAATGTTTTTGTTGTTTTTGTTTTTGTTTTTGTTTTTTTTTTGTTCTTGTTTTCAAAATGTCTATCTACTTTTAAATTTCGATTTTTAATTGTGTATAGAAGATGAATGTGCATGTTTTTTTTGTACGCAAGCTTGTCTTTGAGTCGGGTTAACTTACTGAAATCTAAAAAAAAATAATCTGCTATCAAAAAAATTCAAATATTAAGTTAGTTCTGGCTATATCTGCAAAAACCTGGGTAGATTTCAAAATTTAGTAGACTCAAAATCGAGGTGGTTTGAGGCTTTACTTTACAGAATATAGCACTATTACGGTAGCTACTTGCCACCTGCTAATTTTCCCCACTGATTTTTTCTACCTGGAGAGTTATTCCCTGCCCAGGATATTCCCCCCCCCACCCCTGTCTCTTATACACATCTAGACCATCAGGTTTTTTTCATTATACTTTATAAGGGAGAACATATTTTTTTTATTTTTAATTAATTATTGTCTGGTCATTGTAAGATTACACTAAAAAGGTGTGCCGATGATACAAAAGCGTTATTCAATGAATTGACTGATTGACTATTGATGCATTCTCAATACCGTATTGATGAAGCCAAAATACACATTGTAGAAACGTTTTGAAAGTTTAAATCTGGTTTTACATAACAAATACAGGAAAGAAAACAGGATATCTTTATAACATGTTTCCTCTTTTGGAATTTCGATATCACACCCTTTTCCTAGTCGTTCTATATACCCATATTTCATCCACAAAAAAACACTCTATAATTTCTGTACTTCTACAGTACTTCGGAGGTCAATGCCCATTTGTGATTTTCTTCTACGATACGCCTACTACTGAAAGGTCCACTGATTAATCTCAGATAAGGAAGTATAATACATACTCCAAGTAGGCCTATTGAAATACACGCCATCGTGTTGGGATTCAATATTTCGACATTAATTATGTCATCATCAGGAGC